TCATGCGTCCCGCTACCGGAGAGGCGCTGGATGCGCTGCTCGATAGCATCGAGATCCCCAAGGGTTTCACTGGACTCACCGATCCTTCGACGGGCAAGCCTTTGGAGTTGAGCCAGGACGAGCTGGAATTGCTGCGCAAGGTGCAGATGAACGAGATTCCGGAGGACGGCTACAACCCCTACGAGCCCTTGATGGAATGGTTCACCACGGAGAAGGAAGTCATGCCCCTGAGCGCGGCTCCCGAACCCAAGCGCCGCTTCCTGCCATCCAAGCACGAGGCCAAGCGTGTCATGAAGCTCGTCAAAGCCATCAGAGAAGGTCGTATCCTGCCTTACAAGCCCCCATCAGAGCAAGAGGAGGAGGACAAGGATCTCATCAAATATGACCTGTGGGCGGACGAGGAGGAGCGGCCCGATCATATCATGCATGTCCCCGCTCCCAAGCTTCCCCCGCCCGGCTACGAAGAGAGTTACCACCCCCCTCCGGAGTATCTGCCCGATCAGAAGGAGCGAAAGACCTGGGAGCAAGCGGACCCCGAAGACCGGGAGCGCGAGTATCTCCCCACCGACTTTGGCTCTCTTCGCAAGGTTCCTGGTTATGGCGAGTTTGTCAAGGAGAAATTCGAGCGTTGCTTGGACCTTTACTTGGCCCCCAGAGTTCGGCGCAGCAAGCTCAACATCGATCCCGAGAGTCTTCTCCCCAAGCTCCCCAGCCCCGAGGAGCTCAAACCCTTCCCGTCGATGTGTGCTACCGTGTTCCGAGGACACAAGGGCCGTGTGCGCTCCATTGCGGTCGACCCTACTGGCGTCTGGTTGGCGACTGCTGGCGATGACGGTACCGTTCGTGTCTGGGAATTGCTCACCGGTCGTCAGCTGTGGAGCGTTCAGCTGAGTGACGAGGATGCCGTCAACGTCGTCCGCTGGAGACCCGGCAAGGATGCCGTGGTTCTGGCCGCCGCGGCGGGCGACGACCTCTATCTCATGGTGCCCTCCATTCTCGACCCCGAGCTCGAGCAGGCCAGTCTGGAACTCCTCGACGCTGGATGGGGATACGCCGCCTCGAAGCCTGCTCCCAGCGCCGCCGAGGAAGGCAAGAAGACACCCCCGCAGTGGATCCGCCCTTCGTCGGCCCTCACCGACTCCGGCGTGTGCGCGGTCATCCCTCTCCGCTACGTGGCCAAGTCCATCTCCTGGCACCGCCGCGGAGACTACTTCGTCACCGTGTGCCCCGGCGCCTCCACCCCTGCCTCCGTGGCCGTTGCCATCCACACGGTCTCCAAGCACCTCACCCAATACCCGTTCAGCCGGCGGATCAAGGGCGGCGGCCCGCCGCAGACGGCGCACTTCCACCCGTCGAAGCCGATCCTCTTCGTCGCCAACCAGCGCACCGTGCGCGGGTACGATCTCTCGCGCCAGCTGCTGGTCAAGATCGTCCAGCCGGGAGCCCGCTGGATCTCCTCCTTCGACATCCACCCGACCTCGTCCACGGCCTCCGGCGGCGACAACCTCATCGTGGGCTCCTACGACCGCCGGCTCCTGTGGCACGATCTCGAACTCTCGCAGCGGCCCTACAAGACCCTGCGGTACCACCGCAAGGCCATCCGCGCCGTCAAGTTCCACCCCAGCGGCCGCTACCCGCTGTTCGCCGACGCCAGCGACGACGGCTCCCTTCAGATCTTCCACGGCAGCGTCACGGGCGACATGCTCAGCAACGCCAGCATCGTCCCGCTCAAGGTCCTCAAGGGCCACAAGATCACCGGCGAGCTGGGCGTGCTGGACATCGACTGGCACCCCCGCGAGGCGTGGTGTGTCAGTGCCGGGGCCGACGGCACGTGTCGTTTGTGGATGTAGTAGATTCGATTCAGCTCAGCGCATACTTTCTGTGTTGTTATTATCCATCGTCATCTCCTGTTTGCAGTTTCTCGTCATATCTACATGAGAAGGGCGTTTTCGGTGTGTGTATATACATTATTTCTTTGTTGTTCTCTCTCTTTCGATATCCATTCAAAAAGTTTCCTTCACCGTCGTGGTCATCTGTAGAGTAGACTACGTAAATTAGTATCAGCCTGAGGCCCCAATCAATCCAATCCCCTGTACGTAGCTTATCTCCCCTCCCCTCTATGCAGACCACGCAATCGAACCCGCCTTGGAGGTCTACTACAAGTTACCAAAAAACCATAAAAAACAGTGGAACCATACCCACCACCGGTAAATCTTTACCAGGGAAGAAAACACCTTCCGACCTCTCAGTCTATCTATGTACAGTGGTAACGTTCATCCCGCAACAGCGACGCAACCTAGACAACACCACCGCTCCAATCCCTCCTCAAACGCTCATACTTCTTCAGATCGGTAACACTGGGCCGAATGAACGCCTTGGCGGCGACAAAGTCCTCGAACTTGATGGCATCGCGCCGCTTGATGGCGGAGTAGCCGGCGCGGCGCAGCAGACTGCCGAGATCGGCACCGCTGAAGCCCTCGCACTCCTCGGCGAGGCGGCGGAGGTTGTCGTCGAACTCGATGGGCAGCTTGCGGACGAGGGTCTGCATGATGTCGGCGCGCTCGAGGGGGCTGGGGAGGTTGACAAACAACAGCGTCTCGAGGCGGCCGGGCCGCAGCATGGCGGGGTCGATGATGTCGGGCCGGTTGGTGGCGGCGATCACGTAGATGCCCTGGCGGCTGGAGCCGAGGCCGTCGAGCTCGGTGAGGAGGGTGTTGACGACGCGGGCGGAGGCCTCGGAGAGGGTGTCGTCGCGGCGCGGGACGAGGGCGTCCAGCTCGTCGAAGAAGATGACGCAGGGGACCGAGGAGCGCGCGCGCACGAACACCTGGCGCACCGCGCGCTCGGACTCGCCCACGAACTTGTTGAGGAGCTCGGGTCCCTTGACGCTGATGAAGTTGGCCCGCGACTCGTTGGCCACCGCCTTCGCGAGGAGCGTCTTACCGCACCCCGGCGGTCCCCACAGCAGCACCCCCGTCGGCGCGGTGATGCCCACGTTGGCGTAGATCTCCGGGTGGCGGATCGGGTCCACGATCGCCGTCGACAGCTCGTCGCGGATCCCGCCCAGCGCCCCGATGTCCGCCCACGTCGTGTCCGGGATCGTCGCGAACCCTTCGCGTTTGGACGAGGGTTGGATCTTGGGCAGCGCGGTGAAGAAGTCCGCGTTCGACACCAGGACCGTCTGCGTCTCGTCCCCGATGGGCGTGTCCTTGGCGTGGATGATCAGCCGCCGGATCTCTTTGACCTTGGGGCTGAGGTCGTCGGTCACGCTGAGGTCCTCGAGGTCCATGTCCATCATCTTCTCGTCCTCGGGCCCGCTGTTCTGTTTCAGGATCTCGAGGTACCGCTTGATGGCGGCAGCGCCGGCAGTGGCCACGAGGTCGTTGAGATCGGCGCCCACGAAGCCCGGGGTGCGCTTGGCCAGGAGCTTGAGGTCGAGGTCGTCTGCCAGCCGCATCTTGCGGGTCAGTGCGCGGAGGATCTGCTCGCGCACGGGCTCCGACGGCACCGTCATGTTGATCTCCTTGTCGAAGCGGCCGCCGCGGCGGAGCGCGGCGTCCAGGCTGTCGGGCCGGTTGGTGGCGGCCAGCACGATGACCGGCTTGCCGTCCGTCTTCTCAAGCGCCAGGTCGTCCATGCAGGTGAGGAGCTGTGCCACGATGCGCTTCTCCATCTCGCGCTGCGCGCTCTCGCGTTTCGGCGTGATGGCGTCGATCTCGTCGATGAAGATGAGGCAGGGCGCGATGCGCCGGGCTTCCTCGAAGTACTCGCGCAGCGCCTTCTCGGACTCACCGGACATCCCCGAGATGACGGAGGGCGCGGAGATGGAGATGAAGGGTACGCCCAGCTCGGCGGCGAAGGCATTGGCGATCATCGTCTTACCGCAACCGGGGGGACCGTGGAGCAGCACGCCGCGCGGCGGCTGCACGTTGGAGGACATGTAGACTTGTGGGCGGGTCATGGGCAGGATGACCAGGTCTCCGAGCTGCTCGACCACATCGTCCAAACCCCCCAAGTCCGCGAGACTGACGTGCGTGGGCGGAGAGCGGTCGACGGCGGCGTCGCCCTTGCGGCGTTTGGAGGAGGTAGATTCGCCGCCATGGTGTCGCTTTTTCGTTGACGATTTAGGAGCCGGCGTGGTGGCCGTGTTATCTGTCGTATTGTTCGTCTCGCCGGATTTCTGGGCGTCCGTTACGCCGTTCTTGGTATTCCACATGCCGACGAGGCTCTTGTTCAAACTGTTGGACTCCTATACTTTCCCGTCAATACCTCTCTGGGAAGGAAAGCAGAACATATCGTCCTCCGCGCATGTGACTCACCGGCGCTGCCGGCTCCTCCAGCCCCTCAAAGTCCCCTTCGAGGGAATCCTCCTCCTCCTCATCGCCTTGAATCACCGCCACCACACGCTCAATGCTATCCTCGAGAATCCTCTTAGGTTTGCGATTCAGACTCGAGTTCGATCGCTTGATTGTGTCGTATATCGTCGAAACAGAAACCCGCGTAGCTCCATTCTCCGCCTGCTCGTCCATGATTTTGCGCACAATCTGATAGACCTACCGGCCAGCAAAAGCGCACATTAGCATTTGGTAGTATACATCGCTATTTTGCGCGATAGAGGAGGAGATTTGCATTTGGCTTACATCTTTATCCAAGCCCTGTCTCAGGCTTGGCCTGCCCCCGCGACCCATTGTGTCCCAAGTCGAGAAAGAGCGGTTTTCCTCGTGCGTCCAATGATTTTTGAAACGAAGCGCGCCAATGCACGAGAAAACCAGCCGATCTGATAAATGCTTCAATCGCTGCCCAGTTGGGGGGATCTTCTACAATTTTTGGAGATCGGAGAATCAATTTGGCCGGCGGAGGAAACCAGCAAAAATTACAGATCGGTAACTGCATTACGGTCAATACCCCACTTTAATTGGAGCAGCAGTCTGACCGCCCTCTCCCCTTTGACCATACCCAAACCGGATATCAGTGGACGTCATCTGTTATCGCCCGCCTGACTCTACGGTACCTCCATAGTAGTTAACTAGTCTCCGGAGTGACTCCTCCACAGAACGACACTATGCGTTGACAATGGGGAATGCAAACAGCTCCCACAAGATCTCTGCTCAGGATCGGTAAGATCCCCCTTTTGTCATATACTACAAACCGTGTGTTTTAGTCCGGATGGTACTTCAATGAGCCCCCCAACCGGACTATCACCTCTGCCCGCACCGCGATAGATAAGCTAAACGCCTTGTGTACTGTACTACAGAGCGATCCTCGACCTCAAGAACCAGCGCGACAAGCTCCGCCAGTACCAGAAGCGGATCACCGTGCTGACGGACCGGGAGACGGCGATCGCCAAGGAGTGCCTGGCGCGGGACGACCGCAAGCGCGCCCTGCTCGCCCTGCGCCGCAAGAAGTACCAGGAGTCGCTGCTGGAGAAGACCGACAAGCAGCTGGAGCAGCTGGAGCAGCTCACGGGCCAGATTGAGTTCGCGCTCGTGCAGAAGGACGTGCTCTTCGGCCTGCAGCAGGGCACGCAGGTGCTGCAGACCATCAACCGGGAGATGGGCGGCATCGAGGGGGTCGAGAAGCTGATGGGCGAGACCGAGGAGGCGCGGGCTTATCAAGAGGTAGGTGTAGTTCTAGCTTGGGTGTTCTATGGTTGAGAGAGGCTTTTTTTTTTTAGGGTGACATGCTAATGTTGTCGACTTTTGCGGGGTGGTACAGGAGATCAGTCAGCTGCTTGCCGGTCGTCTGTCCAGGGAGGACGAAGACGAGGTCGAAGAGGAGTTGGAGGAGTTGCAGCGCCAGGCACAAGGGCCAGTGGTATTGCCGAGTGCGCCGGTCTTGTCGCTTCCAGAGGTTGGAGAGCAGGAGGAGACGGAGACGGGAGAAGCGCAGGCCGAGCCATCATCCAATGGACGAAAGGTCAGGGCCGAAGAGCGAACCGCTGTCCTGGCATGAAATCACTCATCCTTTTGTCTATATAAGTTTCAGCATTTCTGGAGTTCTAGGTTCTTGTCAATGGGTCATCATCATATTCCATCATATCATTAGATAGCTCCAGTTAGTTCCATGTTACAAACATGCATGAGCTGAGATTCAGACTAGCATTGGGGATAGAGTCCAGCTCCATAACCAGAGAAAGCACGATCACAAATCAACACAACACCCACTGCACCGCATCGCATCAACAGGCACAGGCAACAGCAACAGCAACAACGGTAAATCACCATCCTCACAGGATTCGACTGCCCACGCCGCTGACGCCCTGAATGGCGACATGGTCGTTCGGATTGGCCGCGGCCTCGTACAGGAAGTTAACGGGCTCGCGATTCAGCGCCATGAAAGTCCCCTTGAATCCCACGTAGCCGACCTTGGTCACGTCTTCCTCGCCATCGCTCCAGTTATCCTCGAAGAACAGCGTGATGGAGGTGGTGGCATTCCAGTGCGCGCGGTTCAGGGGGATCTCAAAGACATCGGCGCCGGCCACCGGCTGGGGGATCTCGATCGTCTGGGTGGGCGACAGCTCGGACGCGGTTGCGAAGTCGATGTCGTCCCGGTTCTTGAACAGTTTCAGCGTCTTGGGGGCGGAGGGAGTGGGCGCGGTGTAGACCAGCAGAGAGTGGACTTTGACTTGGCCGGTAAAGCTGCATCATGTCACGGGAAAGGATTAGTTGATTGTCAAAAGTGATGGCAACCGCTGGGATCGAAGCGTGCTGAAGTGGTCTGCGCTCGTTCGCGACACCAAGACTCGAGGAGGGGCAATGGCCATGGCGGGGTAGCAACAGCAACAAGCAAGATAGTTTTTCCCCCGGCTGCGAACACACCCTCTTGTTAAGGTAGAACTTACGGAATGTACATCAGGAGCTGCTCATCGGTATCGCTTTCGAGCTCCGGCTCGTCGTCGAGTCTCTCCGCCCATGTTTTCTTAACGATCGCAGCACCGGACTTGGGCGTCGCCTCTGCCTTGTTTGTTAGTATTCAATCTCTTTTGAGAGTCATCGATCTCTGCAAGCGCAGGTATAATACGCACCGTTGAGTGTTGTGATAGAGTCGAACTGAACCTGAGAGTAAAGAAGCGATTGAATGGCTGGGGTGATGTCATTGGAGTGGTCGTGACCGTCTTCGTCATGGCAATGTCCGCCGCCGTGGCCGTGATGATGGTGATGACCCGACATGTCGCAAATTGACGCTCGAATCTCCTGGTGGTCGCTTCAGAAAACGAAAGGTCGAGGCTAAGAAGCTAGTTGGAGTAAGAGGCGGTGGTCCGAGGGAACCTTGGGCAAGCACGATGAATATGAAAACAGGCAAGATGTTCAGCGAGTTCAACGCGACCTTTGATTGTTCGGCTAATTCACCCATTCATTCACATCAGCTCAACAATTCACTGTCTTTAAACCCAGCAAGACACTTATCATTTATGTTGAGTTTTATATCAGCTCTTAAGCATAGATGTCAAATTATGAGCAATGAATCTGCCAAACTAAATGATCTTACGCTTAACTTACTTCTTATGGCTTGACAAAGGTCAGAAGGTTACCTCCACCCAAGTGACAAGATTTCACTTCATGCATAATGGGATATCATCATAGAAACATAGACTACCAAGGATCATCTACTGTACAAATATTGCTTTGGCAAGGAATCTCTGCAAGAATCTATTACCGCACTTGATAATAGTTCGGTGCATACTCAAGCAAATAGCCCTTTTCGATCTTGGTTATATCGCGGATGTAGGTCTTTTCTCCCGTCTGTAGTATTTCATGGAATATGACCCATTCGGCTTTGCGATTCTGCATAACCAGTTAGCGAAAATACTTACAACCCAGTGGCAAGTGTGTGTGACTCACAAACATCAGCGAGCTCGGATGAGCATGCAGCGTTAACCCGCCGCTCACCGTCTTGAACGTGCCATCCGGCTGCATCTTTGCAGCATGTGCGAAATAGCCTGTTGTGAGACATCGTTGTATCTTTTCCGGCAGCTTACTTGGATCTTCCTGTCTGGCGCGGGCAGAAAGCGTCTCATCGACCTGGATCCCAAAACGTTCCAGGTATCGCTTCAGCTGGGCGCGGATACTCACGGCGCGTTGCATAGATCGAAAGTTCAAGAGATTATCCCGACACCACTTCGAGTCCTTCTTGCCCTTGGTGACAAAGGCTTGGTAGACATTGAGATACGTCAAATGATCGCCTTCCTCAACTGCGAATTTCCTCCGCATGCTCTCGGATGTTTTCCGATCGCCATCATGTTGGACCCAGACGGTGCCCTGAAGACTGACCATTGCCGCGATTGAAAGAATCTCGCTTAGGCAGCCAAAGCCCGGCGCGGAAAGGAGCACCTTTGCCATCATGGGGTCTACGGCCAACTCTGCCATGCGCAGCCCCTGCGGTTTGGTGAGTTTGGCATGATCGTCGACTGCGCCCAGAGAATACAGGAGCTCAAAAGCACGGATCACCAATTCGGCGGGGGGAGATGTTAGAAAGTCAAAACGGACGATGTTGTCAATTCCAAGAGCTTTCAGCTGCATGATCACCGGCGCCAGGTTGGATCGCTGAATCTCCGGGACAGTCGCCTCTGGAAGGGCTTCATATGCCTGCTGGGTGTAGAGACGGAAGCACTTCCCTGGCTTGGTGCGCCCAGCTCGACCTGCACGCTGGACTGCCGCTGCTTTGGAAATCGGGACCGCTGTCAATGTTTCGATGCCCGTGGTCGGGTTGTAAGCTCTCAATTTGGCGAAACCACAATCCACCACATACACAATCCCATTGATAGTAACGGATGCTTCGGCGATGTTGGTGGACACAATGACCTTGCGCGTGTTTTCAGGCGCTGGCTCAAACACGTACATTTGCTGATTTGTCGTGAGGCCGGCGTACAGCGGGAGAGGGAGCAACGATTGCGCTTTGGGATGAAGCGTGGCAGCGCGTTCTGAAATCAATTGTATAGCTGTGTCAATCTCCTCTCGCCCGGTCAAGAACACAAGGATGCCCCCCTCCGCTTCTTGCAGGTGTATATCAAAGACTGTCTTGACGGACCGCTCGACGTAGTCCTCTGCAGGTGACTCAAGGAAGAGCATATCCACCGGATACATGCGACCCTCTAGACTAATGATCCTGCCAACCTTCCCACCGATCTCGCCCGATTCTGCATCGCCGTCGAACTCTTCCCCAGCGAAGAAGCGTAGAAAGTCTTCGGCCTGCAGAGTTGCACTACTGACGACAATCCTCAGCTCCGGACGTTTCTTCATGATCTTCTTCAGAATGCCCAAAAGTACATCAGTGCTGAGGGACCGCTCATGGGCTTCGTCGACCATGATCACCGAATACCGCGACAGCAGGGGGTCAACGAGCGCCTCCCTAAGTAGCATCCCGTCGGTTAGGAACTTGATCCTCGTGGAAGCAGACGTCAGGTCCTCAAAGCGGATTGAGTAGCCCACCTCCTCGCCTAGCTTGCATCGCATTTCTTCGGCAACTCTAGCGGCCACAGTTGTGGCAGCCACCCGACGCGGCTGCAACTTTGTTAGCTTGGCTGGTCAACGGCCGAACAAAAAGGCGGAAGTGGCGTTACCTGCGTGATAGCAATCGCTTTTCCCTCTGCACACCATCCTGCTTGCTCGAGGTATTGGGGTAATTGGGTCGTCTTTCCGCTTCCAGTCTGTCCCACGACAATGGTGACGGGGTAAGTTTCGACCAAATAGAGAAGACTTTGCTTATGTCTCGCAATGGGAAGCAACGAGGCCGGCTTATACAAGGCGGGTATGAAAGAGGAGCCGAGTTCCAGTTCCGAAGCCATGCTGAAGAATACTTCTGGAATCAATCAATGATCAGCCTAGTCTAACCTGACTAGCTGAAAGTCCCAGATTTTAGCCACAATAAGATCCGATGATAAGTGAGTGGCCCAAGTGAGACATATTGAACGAGACCGGGGATATAGAAGTTTCAGCAAGAGGGGTTTCGGAGGTCACTACCTCTCGAGCTCCATTCAAGACGACCAATGCGAACGATATCAAGAATATCAACTCAACTTAAGTATGTACTGTAAGTTATGCTCAATCGGGGATGGAAAGGCACTGGCGGATTATGTCAGCTAAGCACACTCGGCACGTGATGCAACGTCACCAGGGCTGGCAGGGACAATCGGAAAGGAAAGAGGAAAGGGGGCGGGCGGAGAGAGTCAATCAATCATCAATCATTGGTATACTTTCTGCCTGTTGGGCGAATTCCCTCCTCCACGCAATCAAATAATACCCCAGGAACCCGCCAACTTCAGTCTCGGGCTGTGTGCCTAAATATCTACCCTCTACATACTTATTCTACACCTTCTTCACATTCGCCCCTCCCAACCCCATCCAGTTCATCATGTCGGAAGAAGACAAGAACGTATGTTCTAGATCCCGCTGCCCCCGATTCAACTGCGACTACTAACTTCAGGGTAACCCCAGACGGCCAACAGACTCTCTGCAGTGCCAGCCAGCCCGAAACCAGAGTCGCCCACCACGGCGCGTCCTCTGGATTTCGACGATGAAGCGCAGGAGACCGGCGTCACCTCAGCTTTCCCCTCCGTTTCCCCAGCTCAGCCGCCCGCGGCGGAAGCTGCCCCGCCAAAGCCACCCCGCCCCGTGAGCCCCCGGCAGCAGGCCGAGAACACCCTCAAAGAAGCATTCCCCACGATCGACATCGGAGTTGTAAGAGCAGTGCTGACTGCAAGCAACTGGGATGTGGAGCGGGCCTTTCATGCTCTATTAGGTCTGTAGTCCCCAGCCACAAGTGCTGCCTCTTCGCCCCAACTAACCTCTTGTCTATTCCCCAGGCATGACCGACCCCAATGCCGCCGAACAAGACGTGCCCCCTCCGAAGCCTCCCCGTCCGTCGGCTGCCCAGAGACAGCTCGAGCAGGATGAGATGTATGCCCGCCAGCTTGCCGAACACTACAACCGCCGCGCGGCCCCGCAGCCTCGGTATGAGGACGATCGCGCGTACCAGCGGCGACGAGGAAGCGAGGAAGAGGAGGAGAAAGAATACAGCTTCTTCGATGGTTGGTTTCCATTCAGCCCTAATGTGCACGTCCGCGCTTGCTGACCCGTGTGACTACCGCAGACGACCTGCCCGTCATCCGCGAGAACATCCGCAAAGGATTTCTGGAAACCCAGTCCAAGGTGAACTCGTGGGTGACGAATCTCAAGAAGAGGCTGGATGGAGAAGAGCCGGAAGAAGACACCAGCAGTCAGGCTGCTCAGGGCCCGCGCGACGATCCCTTCGGCCGTCCGCGTCGCAGCGGCGACACGGGTCGTCGGAGCGGGGACCGTGAGCGGTACGACGCCGACCACCGAGTCTTGAGCGACGACTTCTCAGCGCTGGAGTTGAGGGATTCCGAGGGTAAGTGGATTGAATGACTTCATGACGATGAAGCGTCACTGACGAATCTCGCGCAGCTCCTCCCGCGCGTCCTCCCCGCCCTCTTGCAAACCCTAACTTGTACAAGACCTCGTCACCCTCCCCCGACAGACGCAAGGTTGCCTTCCAGGACGGGCCCCCAACGGAGATTGATTCACTGTACGATGCATCCGAGCCGGTCCGGCGCGCCTCGCCCGCGACGACAGGCAAGTCCAGCAAATGGCAACCCTTAGCCGCCGTGGAACCGTCTCCGGTAGGAGAACACGACCCGTTCAGTCTGGGGGATAGCGAAGATGAGAAGGACACCACCACAAAGGCGAAGGAACCCGCCACCGCCGAGGGCGCTTCCAAGGCTGCGACAGTCGAGACGGTAGCGGAAGCAGCGTCCAAGGAGAGCACAACCGACGCTGGAAAGTCATAATTTTGGCCGGGGCCTTCTTCCATCCGCTAGCTTACCTCCACGGCTTAGCTATTCAGTGGCCTGCTTATTCAGTTGTTGTAGCCTTGATCTGTTCTACACAAATCGTGTTATTTGCCCTTGCGACCCGAACCCATGATACCAAGAGACTGCATTTAAATGAATCAGTTAAAACGAGTGCGAACTGTCCGATTCTCGGCAAAGGCCCCAGATACCCACTCTCGTAAACAAGCAACGTATAATCTCAGCCCCCATGCAAAAACAGAATCAATGCATCACCTCAAATCTCAGTACATGAATAGAATAAATCACGGGTATCTTTAAATCAAAAATCCAAACATGCAAGCATAAACCGACGGTAAATCTCACCCAGACGCAACCCCCCAGCACCTCCCCCAACACCCCACTCACCCACCCATTCACTCATGCACTCACTCATACTGCTGCTGCTGCTCACCAAACCCCCTACCTCCAGACCCAGCCTCCTTCCTCAAATCCTTAATCACAGCCTAAGACCACCAAGTCAGCATCCAGACAGAACAACGTCCTTCCCATAAGCCCCCCCCCCCACAAAAAAACCCAACGAAGAAACTCAGGGAAGAAACCAACCGCCAAAGCCTCCGGATTGACCCCATTCTCAATAAGCGAGACACAAAGCGAGAGCTCCGTGCGGTCCAGATGGGTGTTCTGTCCATGACATAGTATGATTAGTTCCAATCGATCCCGGCCATTGAGGCATGACGACGGAGAGGAGAGTAGGGACGTCGACATCAGAATCAGGCGGAGTATACGCCCGGAATTCGAGCGTATCACCAACCCCAGCCGCGCAGGCAGGTTGCAAGCTCGGCGGTGGTTTGGGGTTACCAGGGGATTTCATGATGGGTGGGGGGATACGAAGGTTCTGGTCTGGTGGGCCATACACAAGAATGGATGGCAAGGCAGGGAGGGAGCTGAGGGCTGGGCTGGGCTGGGCTGGCTGGGTTGCTTACTAGGAGGGTGGAAATCTCATGAAGAATGTCGATGACTTCGCGGGCTGCTTGGCGTTTGTCGTCGGCTTGGGTGGGGGGCATGGTTTCTTTTGTTGTTGTGGGGGTAGTTGGTTGTTGTGCTGCTCGTTGAGGTTGTATAGATTGGACGATGGGAGGGGATGGCAGAGAGAGAGAGAGTGTGTGTGTGTGTGTGTGTGTGAGAAGTGAAACGCGATGAAGAATGTTTGATACTCTATCATGTACTGTACCTGGTGAAAAGGTAGGGATGGTTGGAGCTCAAGATCCGCATGAGAAGAGTGATGCGGTACCGTATGGTAAACCTGGAACCAATGGATTGCCCGATTAAGACAGTAAATTACCACTGGCACCCACCCTCAGGCTTTGCATGTCAACATTACTCAGTATGTTTTGTTAAGCTACCCTACAACTACACAGTACATGCTAAGAACAAAGTCAATTTGGAAACGCGCCTGAGGAGGGAGACAGACGGACTACAAACTCTTCACGATCCCCCTCCCTCCCTTCGGTTCTCATTCTTGAGGACATCCTCTTACCCTCAAAACCCTTGCCCTGCGGTCCCTTTGATTCCTTCATTGTCAGCCCTCCCGCGGCTGGCTTGCCCTGTCACTTTCGGGATCGTTTCAAACCCAGCCCTGAATGTACTCATGCTCTCAAAATTTTCCAAGAATGTCGACCGATCTCATCTTCTCAGACATCCACTCCCTGAACAGGATCCAAGCCCTGGACATTCTTGCCCAGATCGCACGTGTCGAGAAAAAGAGTTTCCCTGCCAATGAGGGCATGACCTTTGGAGAGGAGCTTTGGCGCAAGAAGCCCAACACGAGGGTCCTGTATGCCCACCTCCCAGGCGCAAATCCCCCGCTGGTTCTGGCTTATGCGGTCTACGTCCGCCAGAAAGGCATTGCCCTGCTCCATAAAGTCTGTGTAGCCGAGACTTATCGCCGTCGGGGCGTAGGGTTCCAGCTAATGGGCTACGTTCGCACTCGTCTGCAACGGGAGGGTTGTCAGTATATCCAGTTATGGGTGGACAAGGACAGAGCCCCAGCTAGAGCTTTGTACGCCCGCAGTGGTTATGCGGAGCGCGAGGAAATCCCAGATTACTATGGACCAGGCCGGACTGGCATTAGAATGGTCCTGGATTTGTAGTCAAGTCAAATAGCCCTTGAGACCTTGGCTTGTTGCTGCTACCCCTGTCACTCCTGCGGCATCGTTTGTACATGAGTAGGTCCCCTGGATAGGGTTGTTTACTCACGACGAGACCAAAAGGCACAAGCGCCAATTGATTCCTTCAGGCCATCTGTCAAAGATTTGCAATTCTCCGAGTCAGGGTGTTGACGGTTCAGGCGGTGGTTGGAGGGTGGCTCGCTCCTTGGCTTCCCGACGACGCCATCCCTTGCAGAGGGAGCGAGGCCTACATTTCACAGAGTGAGAATTATCGCGCCGCGAACCATCAATCTCTGTCCATTCCCATACCCAAGTGACGTCAAGCATATCCAGGCATGGCTCTTTTCGAAGGGGATGCAAGCTTCGCGCCTCTCCTGTGCCCGTTGGGCCCTTGGGCGCGGATGCCATGATGGAAAAAACTAGAGTCTCTGCCCTAAGGGCAGAGCAATTCCTCGTTTCTCACTTTCAACCCTCAACTCTCGACCATTTCACTGTGGCTTCTTCCTAAGGTTGGCGTCGGGTGACTTTTCAGAGCGACAGTGCGAGTTGCCTCTCGTGTATCTGACCGAAGACACTCACTCGTCCCGACCGTTCTCACTGCTCTGGAGAGATGGCGCTCATCGCGTTGGGTCTCCTCAGCATCCTGGGGACGGTAATTGCAGGCCTCGCGCCGACTTACCCTGTGAACGCACAGCTGCCTCCAGTAGCCCGAGTCTCAGAACCATTCGAATTTGTCTTCTCCCAAGGCACGTTTGCTGGCAGCGGGCCAGACACTCAATATACGCTTCTGAACGCCCCATCATGGCTTGAACTAGATGCAAAGCACCGTACGATATCCGGAACGCCCCAGAAAGATGACATCGGGTCGCCCAAGTTTGAGTTAGTAGCTTCCGATGAGACGGGATCCGTGAACATGGAGGTCAACTTGGTGGTCACAACCGATGATGGGCCAAAGTTGGGGAAACCATTGCTACCACAACTTGAAACGATAGGCGCCACATCGGCTCCAGACACGATTGTGGTACACTCTGGCGATTCTTTTTCCATATCCTTCGATCGTGATACGTTCGCCAACACGCGTCCCTCCACTGTCTATTACGGAACTTCCCCTGACAATGCGCCGCTGCCATCGTGGGTCTCATTCGACCAGGCAGCCCTGCGATTCTCTGGGTCTACTCCGGATATCGGACCTCAGACATTCAGCTTTAACCTGATCGCTTCGGATGTAGCCGGATTCAGCGCTGCCACCATGACATTTGCGATGACTGTTAGCCCACACATTTTGTCTTTCAACCGAAGTGCACAGACCCTCTTTGTCACCAAAGGAAAACAATTCGACAGTCCTAACTTCCTGGATGATTTGACTCTGGATGGTCACGGAGCGACGCGCACTGATTTGGCAAATATTCATGTGGATTCTCCGGCATGGTTGGCATTGGACAAGGAATCGCTCTCCTTAAGCGGCACACCTCCAGCAGACGCTGCAGACCAGAATGTCACCATCACTGTAACTGATAAATTTCAGGACGTGGCCACACTACTTGTCAGCCTGCAATTTTCTCAATTCTTTCACGATGATTTGGACGAATGCGACGCTGTCATCGGGCAATTCTTCATGTTCGTCTTCAACAGCTCTATTCTTACCGACGACTCTGTCCAATTGGACGTTGAACTAGGTGATCAGCTCCCCTGGCTTCATTACAACCGCGACAACAAGACCATTTATGGTCAGGTGCCTTCCGATATCACTCCGGGAACTTTCAACCTCAACCTGACGGCTCGCGAGGAGACTGCGGAGGATACCCGGCAATTCACAATCAAAACAGTCTCGAAGAAAAAGAACGACGAGAACGCAGCTACTACCGCCACGGCGGACGAAGGCAGCGGTAGTAGCGACAACAGCGGCAAAAAGGCCGGCATCATTGCGATCTCGGTCATTATTCCGCTCATTGTTCTCAGCGCCCTTGTACTTCTATTCTTCTGTTGGCGTCACAAGAAGAAAGATGTCGCTCCAGGACCGGAGGAAGGACTGGCAGACGAAAAGAGGGGATCTCTGCCCCCTGATCCCGATTCTGACATGTACCCCCACTGCCAGCCGTTTGAACAGACCACCCCAGGCAAGCCGCCAAGGATGCTCAGAAGTCCGTCGCCATCATCCAGACCCCCAAAGCTCGAGATCTTCTGGCACACGAAGCCCTTGGCCGATGCCGACACCATCAACTACACAGATGACAAGGAGAACGCCTACCCCCACTCAACCCTGGACTGGGACTTCGGTCCACTGGCGACCACGAAGGAGCCGGAAGAGACGAAACCAGTAGCGGATCCACCTCCGCAATCAAAGCGCTTGTCATTCCAGAGCAGTCCTCCCGTGCGCAGGCGCACTACGACTACATCAAAGAAGCGTGAGCCACTTCGGCCGATTCAGCCGAGGAGGTCACTCAAGCGGAACTCGACGGTATCGCGGTCGAAGAGATACTCGAAGCGCTCTAGCGGCATCTCCACAGTTGCTTCAGGGCTGCCTGTCAGGCTCAGCGGCGCTGGCCATGGGGCCGGTGGATTTGGGCCGCCGGGGCATGGGGTTGTTCGTGTCTCCTGGCAGAACACACAAGCCTCATTCCAGAGCGACGAGAGCGATGTGGGGAATTTGGCGCCATTATTCCCTCGCCCGCCCCTCCGCGCACGGGAAAGCACGGAATATCCTAAGCGCGTGAGCCTTCGAGCTGTCGAGCCGGACACGCTGACCATCTCTGATACGGATTCCCTTGAAGCTTTCGTGCACAGTCGTGCAAAAAGCCGAAATTCTTCCAATCCTCTGTTTGCCGGCCAATTCGCTCGTCGTGGCTCATCCGGTGGCCGCGCTCTCCATCGGGCGCGCAGCACCGTGAGTCGAGCAGATACAGTCGCTAGTTCCCATTATATCGACGATTACCGGCAGGACCGCCCCTGGTCGGCGGCGATGTCAGCCTCCATCTATACCGATGACCACCGCCAGTCGGCTTACCTCCATTCGCTATCAGAGGAATCGTCGGACGCGCCGATGTCGGGACCGATCAACAAGCAGCCCAGTCAATCGAGTCTCGCCCAGAATTATTCTGAGGCGATTGCTCCGCTACCCCGCTTTTACAGCGAGTTAAGCTTAAGTAGTGCCCAGCGAGGCGAAGCCGGCGGTAGTGCGGCGTACCCCGGATCAACTGACCCACAGAACAATGAGCGTCAATCCCTTGGGAACAATCGGACTTGGTTCCAGGTCGCGTCAAACGCGCCGGGTGAAGCCCCTAGAGCGGATCCTCCGCCGTTGCCACCATTGCGCAAGAGCCCCTCTTATTCTTCCATGCCATACGAGGTTCGATCGCGCCGAGTGAGCTTGATTCGATCGGCGGACCGAGACTGGAGTGAGCAGAGAGGTATGCAAAGAGAGCTGACGGGAAGTGTGAGAAGTGATATCGCATTTGTATGATTGAGGCGAAAGTATACATACCCATTTGTCTTTCATGCTGTTGTTGTTACAATATTATCGCTGCCAATGTGTTGTATTAGGGTTTGTTTTGTCGTCGACGAGTATCCGGCGAGCATGATATCCACCGTGCATATTTTGTACCATGATTAGTTTAATGCTTTCCTTTGTCCATGATCACCCTAGTATGATAGGGTAAATCTCGAGAGCTCAACAACAGGCAACCACGTATCAATCCAAGGTACTATGCGGTTCGACCAGCGGGATTGGGCTGGGTCTTAGCGTAGCGCGTCGGTGTCAGATTCATGAGCCTATAAGCTCGCACCCCTCATCCACAATGTAAAATGCGTAATCAATCCATCATTCTCGGAGGCCGGTCTATTGTCGCTGTCGACTTTTCTGGAACCCGATAAGCAGATAAGACACTCGACCTATATCAAAGCAGACACGCATCCAGCCTAGCGTACTGCTTTGCCATGCAGCTAAATAGCTCGCAATCGCACCTCTCTGATTGTGCTGAGTGAGATGAAGTGATCTCCTCTCGCCCAACCCACTCTCACTCCTCTCCTGCCTGAGTGTGCTCTGGAGTGTGTGTGCTCAATTGTCTGTGTTTTCCGAACCAGTTGGGGCTGTCCATCTTCTCATTAAAGATGACAACCAATTTACTCGGCGCAGATGAGGCACTGGAGACGAGTTTACTCTTGTCAGGCCCTCGTGAGCAGTCAATGCAAAATAAAACCACGCCCAGAAGATCGAAATGGATTCTCCTATTTGTGTGCCTCATCATCGTCACTCTGGACTTTGGCGTTTATCTTGCTGTCGCGCCGCAGCTGCAGATATATGAGAACATTATCTGCCAGCGCATGCACCCCGAATTATTCGCCAGTGCTTTCGGTGGACTAACAGCAACCACCCAACCGCTCTGCAAGTCAACTGACGTGCAAGGCAAGCTCGCTCTGCTGGTAGGCTGGCAGGATACCTTCACTCAGCTTCCCGGAATGATCCTAGCTATCCCATTTGGTCTCATGGCAGATCAGGTCGGACGCAAACCTGTCATCATCATCAGCCTTGCGGGTTTCCTCATGCAGGAATGCGCTATTCGTTTCATCTGTGGGTGATTTGGAAGTCAGAGGAAAGGAAGTACTAGCTGACGTGCTTCTCAGGCTGGAATCACACAAGCATCCCACTTGAAGCAGTGTGGTTTGCACCACTGTTCCAGGTATTTGGGGGTGGTAGCCAAATCGCTAGCTCCGTCGCCTGGACCGTCATTGCAGACGTCTTCCCAGTTGACCAAAGGTAATCATGATATTCCCAATTTCCTGCTGTTCAATCCGCTGAAACGCGACGAACTCCCAGGGCAAATGCGTATCTTCTCATGGCTGCAGCGATGTTGCTTTCCCAGATCCTCGCAGCCCCTCTCAGCGCTTGGCTGATGTCCAAAGATGTGTGGATGCCATCGTTGTTGGGATTAGCGATTGAGGTGTGCGGGATCATCCCTATTTTCGCCTTACCAGAAACTGGACCGAAAGCATCCATCAGATCGGACGAAGATATTGAGAGCGAAGCACAAGGACAAGCCAGCGAGCATCCTACCATGAGATGGACGGCCATTGTGCACTTGGTCCGATCTCAGCTAATCGAAGTGGTTGGGTTTGTCTGGGGCAACGCCAACACTTTAGCGATCTTTTTCGCTTTCTTGACATCTAGCATTGGAAGCCAGGCGCTTCAGTTCGTGCTGCAGTATGCCTCCAAGCGTTTCATGTGGAGTGTGGCCGAGGTCTGCCTTCCCAGTTCGAGCCACTAACCTGAAAGTCACTAACAGAAGAAACTGGGTAGGCTACATTCCTCATCAGCCTCAAAGGCGTAGTCAACCTTGTCGCCTTCATTATCATATTGCCTCTGATCTCCAGAATACTTGGAGGTTATCTCTCTCCGATAAGGAGAGATCTCCGAATCACACACGGCAGTATCTGTGCACTGATGGCAGGATTCGGTATAATGTCGGTAGCTGCTCATCCAGCCCTT